TTATTATCACCTATACCACTGGTTTTCATTTCACACACGAAACCCGGACCACACCGGCTAAGACTATCCCGCACGTAACGCAAGGCCGTTACAAACACAATGAATAAAATGCAAATCTTTAGCCAGAGAACAATGTTTTTGTCAACAAAATAAAACCAATTATAAAAGTCAATCAATAGTTAGTTTAATATAATACGTTCTGAATTTGGAATTAAAGGATAATTTGAACAAAGTAGGTAGACTCAAGGAACTCTAATACTCTATACTGATATTTGGTAACTGAAGAAGGAGCTGCGGTATACATACCAGGTGTAGAAGTATGAAACCGGAATTTTTTTATACAAATAAGACGTCTGTTGTTCGAAAGTGATAAATAATACTTTATTCAAAATAATTTCCACTGTTTTGAACACATTTTTCCCACCTCTCTGGCAGTTTATGAATGCCGTGCCAAAAAAACTTTTCATCTTTTGAAGCGAACCAGTTATCTAGCCATTTTTCCACATTTTCATACGAATCGAAGCGTTGGTTAGCGAGAGCGTGTCCTAGCGATGCGAACAGGTGATAATCGGACGGAGCCAAGTCTGGAGAATAAGCCGCATGCGGTAGTAATTCCCAACTGAACGACTCGATCGTTTCCTTGACCCGTTTTGCTGTATGTGATGGGGCATTATCATGGAGCAAAATGACATTGTGTTGCCTTTTTGCATATTCTGGTCGTTTTTTAGTCAATGTTCGATTTAAATCGATCATTTGTTGTTGGTAGCGATTAGTATTGACGGTTTGACCAGGTTTCAGCAGTTCATAGTTCATAGTTCATAGTTCATAGTTCTTCGTTCCTCACGTCAAAATCACCACTTTTGAATTTTTTAAACCACTCGAAACACTGAGATTTACCAAGAGCATATTCACCGTAAGCTTCGACAAGCATTCGATGTGATTCTGCAGCAGTTTTCTTTAAATGATAACAGAAAATCAATGCTGTCCGCAAATCATAGTTAGTAGGCTCGAAACGTGACATGTTTAAGGTTATACAAAAATATACTAGAGAATGAAAGTTGGGGTTATGTTTGTTGACAATATTCGTCAGCTGTTAGGAGAATATAATAGCGCGGCAGTAGCGGTCTTACGGTCACTAAACTGAACGCTGGCACCATTTATAGGGGAATTCCGGTTTCATACTTCTACACCTGGTATAGATTAGGTCAAATTGAACAAAAAATTTTTCTACTATTTTGCGAAAAACCACGTAAAATTTTGATTCATTAATCTAAGAAGACTCGTAAATGATCACGCGCCATACGGTAGACGAACTGTGTTGGCGACATTTGCCACTGTATGCTTGTATAATATATTAGGTCAAACTGAACAAAAAAGTTTTCTATCATTTTCCAAATGACTACGCAGATGTTTAATTATTAATTAAAAACGATTGGTGCATTATCGCGTAGAACTATACACCAAACTTCTTTCCTTAATAACTAAACATATACGTGATTATTTGGAAAGTGGTAGAGAACTTTATTGTGTAATTTGATCTAATATACATCATAGCTCATCATAGCTCATATCGTATGGTACGTGGTCATTCTTCTTTGGTTAATAACTTAGAATTTTACGTAGTTGTTGGCAAAATGGTAGAGGGATTTTTATTCAATTTGACCTAGGGTGCGTTCGAGGAGCACACTACTAACGCTACCGTGTTTTTCTATCTTTATCGCTTCTTAGATATACAACAAAGATAGAATAACACTGAATAGCAAGTTGCCCGAACGCATCCCTATTCTACCTGTACCGCGGCTTCTCTGTGAATTATCAGACACCTTGTATAGGATTATTACGTTTCAAATACATCAAAGCATTCCATCCCTTATGGAAATAAACTATTACAGAAACTATTAGTAGAACTATTTGATTATTCAGCCGTAGTTTTTTCGCACTCCTGAGAAGAACTATTGGGAGAACTATTCAGATAACTATTAGATGGATTACAAAGGAAACTATTGAAGGAAGGATTATTTGAACTATTGAAAATCAATACCTAGACAACACAAAATATTTATAAGATTTATTTAAATATTTTATAAATATTTATCAAAATATTTCATAAATAGTTTTATGGCCTTAGATTCAATAGATTATAAATATTTATCATAAATATTATAAATAATATAAAAATTTTTCTCTTTTCTTGAATTTTTCTTAAATGTTACACTTTATTGTTTGACACACTACTTAATTCAACTTAAATTGTACTTTGAACATTTGCTTACTAGCATACTAAGACTCGAACCTGAGACCTCTGGCTTCTTGAGTCGTTCATCTTATCTACTGCGCTACTTGTCACTTTGACTGAGAGACACTTTATATTGTATATCCATGTACAAAAACAAATGATTTATTTAAAAGAAGAGAATAGATCCTTTTAAATGTAAAAAGTATGTAAAAAGTCTATAAAAGGACTGAAACGGACATAAAGAGCTAAATTACGGTTGTTAGGAGTTTAATAAAAATTAATAAATACAAATTGAATATACGTTTCGACCATTGGATGTGGTCCTCTTCAGTATAGAAATTCAAATAAGTATAACTAAGCATTACATACTTCACATAGTATAACTAAGATAAAAGAGTTGTGTTCATGACGTACATCACACTCCAATCTTTACATCAATATTTATCGACTACAATACGTGTCTGTAATTGTCTTTTTGTCTGGCCGACATATGTGGCGTCACAATTGCCATACATAGTTTTATACACTACATGTTTTCGCTTTCCCCTCTCCAACCGATCTTTGTGATTAGTTATAAATCTATCAAGTTTATTCTTAACTCTGTAAGCAATTTTATATTTAGTTCCTCTCAAATATCTCGATATTTCAAATGAAAAATATTTAATGAAGGGAATCGTGAGATAATTCCCATGATCAGAGTCTATATAATTTTTTTGTTTGACATCCCCATAAGTCCCATAAGCGATCAAATCTTTAACCCGTTTGTTGATAATGGGAAAAATAAATTTCCTTTGTTTATACTTCGGTATTTCGTTTGATTCCATTTCCTATTTCCATCTTATAATCTAACGTCAAATGTTTATCTCCACATTCGTGATGTGGAAACGTTGATCTCCATGTGTCCGCATAGAATCGGTTGGGTCCAATTAGCTCTTTTCCGACACATCTTTGGTATGATTATATTATACATATTTTCACGATTTGACAATTTTTTCAATATATTAATTATTTGTGTTTTGTGATTGATGTAGTCGACAATCATTGATGTAAGGATTGGAGTGCGATGTACGTCACGAACACAACTCATTTATCTTAGTTATATTATGTGAAGATTATTTGAATTTCTATACTGAAGAGGACCACATCCAATGGTCGAAACGTATATTCAATTTGTATTTATTAATTTTTATTAAACTTCTAACAACCGTAACTTAGCTCTTTATGTCCGTTTCAGTTCTTTCATAGATTTGTTCTATAGAGCTTTTATTATTATTTGTATGTAAAAAGTATATTTAAAAAATATACTATATTTTAAAAATATTTACTTACTTTAAAAGTAAGTTAAATACAAATAAACCACTTTGTAAATTTAAATAAATTCCCAAGTAGCAGACAACCGTGATAATGGCGTAAATTTTACATCATCTGTTACGTTATTTATCCTTCAAGTTAATCAAATAATGACGTCTTTTTGACGATCCTAAGTCACAGACCAATGACGTTATATGTACGACGACTTAATGACGTCATTTTTTTAAATAAAATGTGTCACGTGGTGGCCCTGAAGGCGCCTGTCACAGGGGGACGAGTACCGACGCTTACCGATTTTTGCGCGCGTCCCACATTTTGCATCGCGGATACCGTTTTGCGAACACGAGGTCGACATTCGGTCGCATAACATTTAGCGAAATTTAGCGAACTTTAGCAAAACTAGAATCGGAAAAGTGGGTTGGTCCCGCGCCCCGTAATTTGTGCCCCCGAGCTCACTCCACTGACCCGAGGGAAGAGGATTTGAAGGACAACGTGGGACCGGAAGGAATCGAGACAGGTCGTCCGTTCTCGCAAAAAATCGCCGTTAAAGCGACACAAAAGGTAACGGACTTTTGACTCTCGATCTCGTGAGAAATGTGTCGTTTCGATCTCGGTTGCCGCTGGCGGTGTTTATCGTTACAGCTCCGCTTCGAGACGCAAGAGGGAGGTCTTAGGAGACAACGGCTGATACGGGAGACCAACCGTGAATAGCTGACGAGAAAACAACAACACGTTAGGAAGTAGAGGAAAAACAAAAGCTTCTGGGATATAACAAAGGCTACCGCTAAAATCGCGGTGATTGGTAAAAGCCAAAAGAGAGAGAGGGAGCGGAGAAAAAGAATATGCGGAGAACAGCAGACAGAGAGACAGGGTTCCAGGGGATAATAACTCCCGTCTGGTAAGTGGCACTACCTACACCTACCGCCCTCTGAGATTGTCTCCAGAAGTGGCCGAACTAAACGGGTGACGTCACGCGGAGTAGGGATGCGTGCCAATGAAAGTATGAATGGCACGCACAGACAGACGTTATAGAGAGTAATAGCAAGCAACTTATGCACATATGGCACGTATACAGTTGTGTGATGAGTGTATATGTGTGGATGTGTGTGTATGTGTTGTATGCTATTGTATAGGTATTGTAGGTTAGTTGCTACTTCTACGATTTAGCTAATTATTTTAGTACTATTACTACACTATTACTACTCTACAATGATTAGTAATAAGATAATATATATATTTATTGCTTTATATTAGTGCTCGCTGTTGCTCGCTGTTGCTCGCTAAAACGTTTCAAGAATGTCTGCCTATGCGCGCCAGTTCATATTCATTAACGCGTATCCCCACTTCGCATGACGTCACCCGTTTAGTTCGCCCACATCCGGAAACAATTTCAGAGGACGCCACTAAAAACGGAATCCAATTTTTACAAGAGCGAATTTGTATTCCCTGCAGGGTTCGTTCATCCGTTGCCGAAGAGCGAGATCAGAATGAAAAAGCTACCGTTACTGTGATCCGCCGAGATTCGCTAGTTACCTCTACCGCGATCGAGTACCGCCACTTGAGTTTGATTCGGAGAGCATGTGAGAGTCAGAGTCCTGAATTTGTGCGGGTGGAAGTGCCAACCGAAGCGAGGGCGACAATGACTCAGCCGCCGACGAGAGAGCCGACGAGCGAAAGAGTCCCCGACAGGTCACCAGCGAGGATCGGAACCGAGGAAAGCACTGTTATTGTAAGACCAACTACTCGTTCGTTAGTACAGGAATACCGTTGTTGTCGTACCGTCCTGCACGAGGAATGGCCACATAACGTAGGCCGTAACCGGGCACCGTCGTGTGACTCGGCGAAGAAAATCGGGATCCGTACCGCGCCGCGATAGTCAGATATCGTCTCGCGAGAACGTCTTGGTACAGCCTAACGAACGACTCGACATACAGTGATTATCGAGCCATTGTATTATCGGGACGAGCGCGTTCCGGGATAATAAAGAACTGTTTACCACACATACTGGCTTCTCACATTGTCTCGACCGATATTTGACCCTTCCTAGCATCCACTCCCATCTCCGACTTTAATTAAAAGTGGAGCTACCAGTCCTGTAGAGTTTCCAGTTTTGCGACTTACAATTACCGTCAACTATTTTGGTGTTAGTAATTGGTGAGGAGGTGCGGCCTTACCGCACCTGGCGCCCAACTTAGCGTTCGCGTAGCGAAGTCGCAGACCGGGGACCACGGTAATTTGCCGACGTGGCGGATAGAATCGCTGCTTGATCCCCCAAAGTTGGATTCCATAAGAGCCCCGTAAAGTTATATTCAAAAAAATACAATTTCTACACCTAATTCGTTTGCTTATCGTTTGCACATGTTTGCACATCAAGAATTTTCGTTTGCACACCTCTAGTTTCAAAGTTATTGAAAAAACAATTTTGGGGGGGCCAACTTCACTAGCCCTCCAACATTCGAAAAAGTAAACTTTCTTTAGCTCAAACGATTGCACATCGTTTGCACATGTTTGCACATCAAGAGTTTTCGTTTGCACACATTTAGTTTTAAAGAAATTTTAAAACAAATTTTGGGGGGGGCTAACTTCACACTAGCCCCCCAAGTTGCTCAAACTTGACTCACAATGCATGTAATCGATAGATTTTCGTTTGCACATTTCGAAACAACTCGAGTTTTCGTTTGCACACCTCTAGGAAAAAAGTTATTTGACTTTAAATTTTGGGGAGGCCAAACTCACACTTGCCGAAATTTATTACTGCAAAATAAAATTGTTTGACGTATGATATTATTAGATCTTCGTTTGCACATTTTGAAACAAGTCGAGTTTTCGTTTGCACACCTCTAGAAAAAAAGTTATTTAACATTGAAATTCGGGAGGGCTATCTTCACACTTGGCGAAACCTTTTTTTTTTTTTTTTTGATAACTCAGGGGAAAATGCGTTACGCATCCCCCGAAGACCCGGGAGGGCACCGGGGGTATGTGGGACTCCCCTCCCCCTATTAAAGTAATAGGGGGAGGTATACCCACTAAAAACTCCTGAGTGTGTCCTTCTCTACTACGGATCGCTCTGTCTACAACGACCTCTCGGCTGGATTTGGGATCTATTCAAATTAATCGGAAACCAGAATTTCTATCCCCACTCCGAAGACCAAGAACATATTCTTAGTGGAGGCTTATGTTATTCTAAAAGCGATCCATATTATATGCAATAACGGAATTACATCCGCTGGCACCTTCATGGACTCCCTCTCCGTTTAAAAATGCATTTCTTACCCCGATCTGTTTGGCAAGAAACCCGAAATTATATATCTCATTAAACATGAGTTACACCTAGCCTCAAACAATAACGTTAACATTTCTCTGATTTGGGTCATAAGAGTATCTTCGGAAACGAGATGGCAGATCTCTTTATCAATCTAACAGGTATGTAAATATGAAACCGGAATTTTTGTATAGAAAATACACGTTTATTGTATAAAAATGATAAAAAATATTTTATTCGAAGTATTGCCCATCGCTAGCTATACATTTTTCCCACCTGTCTGACAATTTGTGGATGCCAAACTATTGGCATCCACAAATGTGGAAAAAACTATTGCTCTTTTGAAGCAAACCAGTCATCGAGCCATTTTTTGAGATCCACAGTAATAAAAGTTACCAATTCTTTTCTTATATTTTGCTAAACTGTCAAAAGAATTAGTTTTAACACGTGGGATATAAAATCTATCGTAGAAAGGAAAACCGATGTTAATGTATCGCTCCTTATTCTGGAGAACACTCCAATGCTTTTTTAGAAATTGAATTGCTTTAGGAATAGAAGAAGAGGATAGAGAGTGATGTTCATAAAAATAAAAGTTGAGGAACCAGTCACTAAGGTAGCCTCGCAACAAGTTATTCCCTACGTGCCAACATTTGCTGATGGTTTTCAGGAGAGAGAATAGGAATCTGAATTCCAAGGGCCATTCGGCCACTTGATCAAGGAGCACATTAGTGGGGGTAGATTTCATAAAACCCAAGATACATCGGATACTTGCAAACTGGGTTCTAGCAAGTGATAACAGCAAGTGATTGGAAGGGAGATCCATAAGGACGATGCCGCCCCAGTCTAAGACCGATCTAATGAGGCCCTTGTACAAAGTGAGAACAGTGACAAGATGAACACCCCATCTAATACTAGTTATTGATTTGAGTATGTTGATTTTGTAAACAGGAGTTTTTGAGCTTGTGAATGTGAAGCTTCCAGTTGAGATTAAAATCTAAGGTGTACCCTAAAAAAGAGGCCGAAGAATGTAACGGAATCGGAAGACTGTGAAGCTTTCTGTTGCAATTATTATTATAAAGAAAATTTTGAATATAATGGAGAATCTACCTTTTTTTAGAAAAAATACAGAATTTAGTTTTAGATGGAGAGATGGATAAATCCAGGTTTTGTAAGTTGTTGGCCAAGATGTGTAAGTTCTGCTCTAAGTTTTTAACTAAGTTGACTACATGTCTATCTTTGCAGAAGATGTCCATATCATCGACGTAAGCAAGGATACTAGTGTTCTTGTTTAAGCCCGTATGAATGTTAGAGATATATAAAATAAATAATAGGGGACTAAGAACAAAGTCTTGTGGAACTCCAATCGAGCATTTACGAATGCCAAGGCACTTTCCAGAAAAATATCCTACTACCCAGCAAACAATTTGGTACCAAATTGTCACCAAATTGGCACCAAATATGACCAAAACTTGACGGCAAATCCGATGCCATCTGCGTCCGCAATATGCTTGAATTTTGTTAGCAAAGCTTGGTGACAAAATCTGACGCCAAATTATCGCCGAGCAAAGTTTGGCGCCAAATTGCGCCGCACAAACCATGGTCGGTATTTGGCGTCAATTTAATGTTAGATTTCATTAAGCTTTGTTCGGTATTTGGCATCAATTTGACGTCAAACTGCGCCGCACAAACCTTGCTCGGTATTTGGCGCCAATTTGCCAATAACCTTTGATTTAGCAGATGTTATGTCCAATTTGATGACATTTTGGCAGCAAAATTTGTAGTCAAGTGTTGGACAAAATTTGCTCGAGCAGATTTGGCTATCTGGATACTTCTTTTTTCAATAGGAGGAATTAAATAAATTTGGTAATCTTTTTAGGAACACTGAGATTTCTAAGTAGTGTGACTAGTTTAAACGGGTTAACGTTGTCGAAAGTCCTCTTGATATCTACAAAAATAGTACCTACTTTGAGGTTTTCAGAAAATGCATGATTGATATAGGATTTGAGAGAGAGAAAGGACATTAAAAGCGCAGGATCTACCTCTCCTGAATCCGCTTTGATATTTGGGAATAATGTTATACCTTTCCATCCACCATTCTAATTGATTTTTAATAATTCTTTCAAATATTTTAAGTAAGATAGATGCAAGGGATATGGGTCTCAATTTATTGCCATTGGATTTAAGTATATAAATCACATAAAATTTTTTCCATTTAGGCGGATATATCATGTTTTTAAAAAAGGAATTAAAAAGTTTGTGAAAAAATTTCAAGAAGGAAGTAGGGAGATGAGAAAGTATATTGGTAGATAAAAGGTCGGGACCAGGCGCAGTTTTTTTGACAGTGGAAGCTATAAAAGCATCAAAAAATTCTTCCCAGGAAAGATCATGCGAGAAAAAGTCAGTGTTACTGGGATGGAGTTGCGTAAGTAACTTATATTGGATTCAAGCCTTTTATTTGAATTGAAAAACTGGAGAGAGGCAAGTGGCGGAGGTAGAGTGGCATGGAAGGTTTTTTTGGTAAAGTCGAATTTTTCGGCGGAGAATTCGTTAATGATATAAGCGTTGGAACGTTTATTGCGGAAAGATTTGATAATTCTTCAAGTTCATTTAACGTCCGAATTGTAATTTAAAGAGGAACAAAAGGTTTTAAATTTAAGATTGCGAATTTTGCGGAATCTGGTTTTAACTTTTTTACAGGTACTCAGAGAGAATTTAAACAGAGTGGAGCAGATTCGCTGGAAGTCCGCCATTAGTTGGGCAACTTTTGGTGACACGCGAGAAATTTAATCTCCTTAAACTTCAGATCCCGATTACTACCCACACAGAAAAAAACTTCCATTAGACGTTCATAGATCATCCATAGCTCCACCAGAAAATCTATCTCCACGGTGGACGACAAGTGGATCTCTAATGGACGTCCATAATTCATCGATGATGGACACCCATATAACATCCATCATGGACGTTCACTGTACATCTACTATGGATGTGCAATAAATTTTTACGTTTAATTTTTTATTGAATTTCAGTACTACCTTTATTGCATTATAGCTTTCCAAGTAAAACATAAGAATAAAAATGATATCAATTTGACGTTATTTTGACCAAACATTGAAAAAATTTATGTCAATTATCAGTCAATTATCAGTAAAAAAATATTATTGGGAGTACAAATAAGTCGCCGCCGTTTGACAAAAGATGGCCCCACCAGTAAGTTATGGTTGAAATTGTCAGATGTAAAACGTCATATCGTAAGATTGGACATCTGGCAACACCATAATCTTGAAATATTAGCGATTTTGTATCAGCATCACATAATTTTTTTCGTGCGAAAATGTCGAGTTTTGAGCCGAATAAGCGTCATTTGCGGGAACTTTTGATTTACTTCTTTAATTTGAAGAAATCTGCAGCTGAGGCGCATCGATTACTGTAGAAGCATATGGTGAGGCTGCTTTAAGTGAGAGAAGTTGTCGTGAGTGGTTTCAAAAGTTTAAGAACGGTGAGTTTGACGTCAAAAACAAAGAATGTAGCAGAAGGCCAAAAGTGTACGAAGACGCGAAATTGGAAGCATTATTGGAGGAAGATTCGTGCCAAACGCAAGAAGAATTTGCACTTACATTAGGAGTGACTCAACAAGCAATTTCATATTGTTTAAAATCGTTGGAAATGATTCAAAAGCAAGGAAATTGGGTTCCATATGAATTGAAGCCGAGAAACGTTGAACGCCGATTTTGCACA